CTCAGTGTTGGCCATGTGGAGCTTAATATTGCTGGCTGAGTATCCACAAGCAGATCTCAGAGAGATGGGCCAAGATGCATGACAGGATGGAAGGAAAGGGGTCTTTAATGGTGAGGACAATTTGGGAGTTATCTGTGAAAACAGTATGTGAAGCTGCCATAGCTAAGAGCATGTGGATGGCTTATTGAAGGAATCCAGAATCTTCTTGTGGTGGGTCAAAAGTAGAATAAATAAAAAACGGGAGCCTTGATCATTTTGGCTGGTGAACTGCAAAACAATTGTCATTCCTAATGACACCAAAATGTTGGCCAACACTAGTATATAGCATTCTGAACCATGGAGACAGCATTTCCCTAGCAACAACAATTAATACCTACCTGAGACTAGAGTGTAATTTGGACTATCCACCCACAAAGCAGAATAGGAACTCCCTCTGCAGGCTACCCAAAAGCTGGGTATGTCTTGACAGCCAGCTAGAGTGTGTTTCTTCAATCACATCTGTTTAATCAAGTTAACTTAGCACAATTACGAAGTCCCAATAAAGGCTGGCTAAGACAATACAAACAATTTTGCCCAACATGACTGGAACACAGCCACCCTCTGCTCATCATATGGCCCTTCAGTCCAGGTGTGAATCCTTAGCCTCACTGAACTGAAAGGAAGTTTTGGCAATTAATTCCTTAGGACCAGGATTTCCCTAGGCCCTGGATAGTAAATGGGAAGAGAAGGGAGAAATCTTACCTTTGCTACCTTTCTAGAGCCAAGTCCTTCACTGGTTAAGGCAATGTGAAGGGGCTGGAGGGCCAAGCCAACAGCAAACAACCTATCCCGGACACGAGGAGGAAGCAGGAGGGGAAGCATGTAAGTATTGTCTTTTAGTTCCTGGGTTACTTCTGAGCTGGGGAGCAGCTCATACACCAAACCTAGTTTGGCACTAAGCTTAACAGTGTGCTCCAACACACATTTTCCAGTTTCAAAAGACACTTCAAATTTATGAGGAAGGACAGAGGACCCTGCCCTCCCCCAACACTTACATTGTGATGGCCAGGGAGCAAACACACAGGAGGTGGGGACCTACACAGAATGTACTCCCCTCTAATTACACACACACACATGCATGCACACACGCCTGTACAAAGAAATGGCACCAGTTCTTCTGCACAGAACATTCCACATCTGCAAGAAAGAGGCCAGAAAACCAAAAAACTCCACAGAGACTAAATAAAATGATGAACACAAAAGAAGCACATGCACGCAAAGCCTAAAGAGAAAGGCATTACAAAATAGAGCCCTAAGAGGAGCTTTATGATCTTTCTTTATAAACCATCAGCAGTAATCCATTGCAGGCAAGGATGATTATCTTCTCTGTGGGTCTGAAGATGGCTGACAAGGCCTATCCAGGCCAGTTTATAAAACCATGGAGCCATTTAATAAATGCAGCTACAGTGATTTAAACCAGCTGACAAACTTTCATCTCAAGTACAAACCAATGGGTAACTATTTTCCATGAACAGCAGATTGATTCCCCTTTATACATGTTTTCCAGGAAGGGAATTATTCATAAAAAGAATTGCAAATGTGAGGTTAAAAGTGGAGTTGGCTGAAAGATGAAATGGACCTTTTGACCTATTTTTCCCCAGAAAGAGTGAGAGAAAAGTTGGCTGAAGTTTCTAATATCTGAAGGGTTTCTACCAGTTGAAAGGTGTTGTACGTTTGCACAGAGCAGAAGACGTATGAAATTCTTCTGCAATGGCTAAATCTCCTTTTCAAAAAAGGACAAAGAGCCTTATTCTCAACAGCCAAGTGCCCTGAGTATCGCTGCTGAATTCCCTTTCAAAAGGAGTAAATGAGACCACATAAGGTGCCTATACACATGCTCCTATGCCTCTAATTAGAACGCACCAGAGCAGACTCGATTAATCAAGTTCAATTAATTAACTTGATTAATCAATGAATTGAGTCTGTTGGAGGGTTCTAACCAGAATGCCCCAGCATGCCTCACTGTCATGTCTATTAAGCATCCCGCATTTCAAAATGGCCATGGGAGCACTTTAACTAAAACTCACCCCTAGCCATTTTGAAATGCAGGAGGCTTAGTACATGTGATGCTATGGCATTTTAATTAGAGCAGCTATCCAGGAGCTGTTCTAATTAAAACATGCCCCATCCCCCCTTACGCACTCCAGGAACACGTGTATAGACACCCATGGTGTCAGGGTGAAAAAATAAAATATAAATTACATAAATGTCACAATAGATAAGAGCCTGATTCTGAATTCATTTCCAAATCAGGAGTAAAGCAGGAGTTACTACATTAGGCTATGTGCAGATGAAATGAGAGGCATGTGTGCATGACAATTTAAAGTAGGCTAAATGTTTTTGCACTGCTTTAATGGTGTTGGTGTTTGCATGCCTTGGTGGTGTATTGCGTATTAATTCAAGCCACTGTACAACATTCAGCAGGTAATGCACCTTAAATGACTTGGGGCTCAGCAAACTGAGGAGTTTAATTTGTTGCCCCTACAGCCGCAGAGTGAAGCAGCGGGCTCCATGCAGTACCATGGCTCTGCAGACAGCCTGGCAGCAGCCCAGGAAGGCAGCTTCACCCAAGACAAGCAGCAAGCCTGATCTCCACCCCCCACCTCCCCTGGAGCCTGCCTGCCTGCCTGAGCTGTGTGGGGGCCCGGTGCTTCCCTCCGCAGCTGCAGTGCCCCCCAGGACTGCCTGAGCCAGGTGCCTGCAGGCGGGTGCCACCTTGGGGGGGGTGGGCGCCACTGCCATGGAGGGAAGCACCAACCGCCCCCCCCCCAGCCCAGGGACCACACTGCCTGCCGGCAGCTCACCCTCCTCTCCCCGCCAGAGAGGCAGGTAACTCAGCGGGGTGTATGTACAATATGGGGGTTTAAATACCCCTAAATGGAAACAGTGTTTTTTTAAAACCCACCACTTCGATTTAGGGCCCCCATTTCATCTACACACGCACTTAGTGCCACAATGGGCAAGAGAAAATCAAAGCTATAATGAAAATGTCTGGTAGGTCCTCAGTCCGTAGGATCAACCGCTGTCTCTCTGTTCCTGTGCTTGGTGACAGGCAAAGGTGGCTTGAAGCAACTTTTGTGCTTTAGGAGTCTGATCCCCAGACAAATAAGACTGGGGGAGTCCTCGAGCCAAGCTATACTTGGCTGTTACAGCTCATTAGTAGCCACCTTGCAGCCAAGCACAGCAAGACTGTACCAGTGGGCACAGTGAAACTATGCCTCTTACCTCCATGCTCCATAACCCTATAGCCATGATAGCAGCAGTGCCATGGAGCTCCCTCCATGGGGCTGCTTTCCCAGTCTCCAAGAGTTTAGGTGGAAATTTCATTCCTGTGTCCAAGAGGATACATCATTTCAAATCTCTGATTTATTTGATGGTAGTTTTAACCCCACTTAGAAACGGGTCACTTTTGTGATTTATTGATTTCTTCTTCCCCTTGTTAATTTAACTCATTTCTTAGTAAATTATTCACAGTTAATCATAGTAGGAATAAAATTAGTTATAGTGCTCACTTTGCTGCAAAGGGAGCGTAAATAACTTTTAAAGCAAATTGGAAAGAAAAACACCGTATGGTAAAAAAAAAAAGAATCTAGAATATGTAAAAGACAATGATATTCCAGAGTGGGCAGTAAATTAAGTTTTTGCCCACTTACTGGGTAGAATCGTTCAGAAATGTACATCCCACGGGAGCATGGCTTTTACAGCAGGTTCCTATCAATTGAATTTGCCACATCTTTTGGGAAACACACCAGTTGGAAGATAAAACCTCCCCTGCAGCATTCATAGGATTAAAAAAAGCCAACCCTGTTGTGTGCCTCTTGTGCCCACTGGAGGAACATAAAACCATTATATTTAAGTATCATAATAGCCAACATATGCTTTTTCTTAGAAATGACACCACCATCTGGATTAAGTTCTCCTGATCATTTCAGACAATGTTATGATTATTATATCTTTTTTTTCTTCAGGAGGAAGAAACTGCCCAGAGAGCAACTACTTTTTCAAGGGGGAATATACTGTTTTTTATTCCTAGCCACCTGAGATCTTGAGAAGGGCAAGGGGAAACTCTCTTAAATTTGATTTCACGTGCTAATTGATTATGAATGTCTAACCTAGGTATCCCTCAGTATGAAGCATGCATGTCTCCTATTGCCTTTGGCCATATGCATTAAATATTACAGTTAATAAAAGTATGTAATTACTGTGCTGATAAAATTACACCATATTATTATCGAAGCAGTCATCTGCACTTCCATACCAGGCACTAAATACTGCACTCTAGATGGTGCAGAATGAATGAGAAGCAAGTTTAACCCTTAGCCTGCTCATAGGTCTCTAAATACATTGGAGAGTAGGAGGGAAAGCCTTCTCACCTGAATGAATCCTTACTAGCCTCATGGCTATTGTCATGAACATAGCAGACCTTCTGGGCCACCACATCCAACTGGCTGTAACTGGAAATGGGCACGCCGGGATAATTGATGTACTCAATCTGACCATGCACAGGTGGCATGGAGATGGCATACAGCAGCTTCTCGGGTTTGCTAGTGCCATCTGTTGCCACAAGAACATCTGTCGTCAAGGTCACCCTGTCACCCTCTGTTAAAGTTACAGGTTTGGTGAGTAGAACAATGTCACCTAAAAAAAAACCCACAGGGAGAAAAATTTAAAAGGGGATAATCCTTTTACATCCGATACAGGAGGGAGGGAGGGGGAGGGGGAGGGGGTTGGAAATCAGCCTTTTATACAGAGGGAGGGAGAAGTTGTGGAAATGAAGCAGAGAACACTGCAGGGAAAATTAACAAAGAACTTTATCAAAAAAGCTTGGGAAAAGCTTTTTTTTTTTTCTTTTGTAGCCTGCCAGGTTTTAGATCTCTGTGATGGAGCTATGTTTTGTAGCACAAAGGAAACTGAACTTATGTGCATGCACAGCGTTTGCAACAGCAGAGTCACAAGGAGCTAGAAAGATTTCTTTTAACGTGTTAGACGTATACACTTCCAATTTTTAACTTAAGGTCCTCATACAGTGTAATTGGCTCCACTTTGCATGTTTGCATTAATGCATGTATATTTATATGGAATGCATGGAAGCTTTCCCAAAAATATTTAAACCAGCTTGGAGTTTTTCTCTTTGTGAAGAGAGACTGACCTATTTGTTTATAAAGAACAATTAAGTTAATAGACCCAAATGAGCCAATGGACAAAATGCCTTAATGAACTAAGCACAACACTGCATTTTAAGCTGATAGGGTTATGTGGTGCTGTAGCCTCGGCAACAGCGGCTCTTTTTCCATTAGATTTGTTCTTAAGCATATCACAAACAGCAAAAGAGAATCAACACAGTTGTTGCCTGTTTGCAAAACAGCAACTTAAAGGAATTAAAATCATTAAGCATTTGAATAACTGAACAATTCAGAGCAGAAGGAGAAATAATTTGCCTTTTCATAGCCCTTTTATACTGTTCTAGTATCTCTTCCTCTCAGTTCTCCTACGCTACAAAAAATTAAAGTGCTAAAATGACAACACAATGAACTGTGTGACAACATAGTGACAAAGGTGCAGCATATTTTGGGGTCTTGCAGGGCACAGGATGGCTGGTCTTCACGTGTGGCCAAAGGGTGAGGGAAAGGGAAGCTTTATATTTGATAGTGTTTAAAAAGTAAATAATACTGTGCAGATTTCCTAGAGCGCTGCTGCGGGTTCTCATGTTGGCAACAACACACAAGCACAGCACAAACCAGCACTTTTTATGCTCCACATTTTCTTATGTTGCCAACTGACCTTCATGTGCAACAGTACGGATGAAAGGGAACTAGCAACATTTAAGCATGATGAGTTTTAAATATATATATATTTTCCCTTCCTACTTCAGACTCCATTCAGCGTTTTCTTTTTGTTCATCTCTAACTAGCTTGATGGCTCTCTTTCACCCCAAAAGGGTCACAAACATTAACCTTTTCATTGCTAGTTTCCCACTGCATCTGTTGTGTTGTACTTGCCTGTTACCAAAAATCAATGAAGTAGAGTTGGTGGAATGATTAATTTCTCAGGAAAATATTCATGGTTAAATCATGGTCTAAATAGCACGACTTGCTTTGCCTTTTTTTAAATGACAGTACAAAACATTTTAAATTAATTTTTAAACTTAACCCGCAAACCTCCTCTCCCCCCCACGCACCCCCTCAGTCCAACTTGGCGCACACATACTTGGAAACACAAATCTTGGAAGATTAGGTGGTAGTCGAAACTGTACAGCCACTTCTTAAAACAAGAGGTGGTGTTTCTCCATTTTAGGTTGAACTTATAAAAAGGTATTAGTGTTATTACTCTTACAAGGTCCATATGAAGATGGGTAGCCATTTCCTGGTGGTCTTCAAAAAACCTCAAGGACTAGAGAAGCATGAAGGAGGGTGATACAGAGTTACTAAAAGTAAGATGGTCAAGTGAGAAATCACAGAGGTGGACCCAAATTTCAGTCACTGTATTAAACCAGGGATTGTGCTACCATACCCCAGCTGCTTGCATGGGGATCACTGCAGAATAAAAATACCTCACTTGTCTATAGCATTTTGCATCAGTACATCTGCAAATGCTTCAAAGGAGGTGGGTATCATTTAGCAGTCTGTCCTGATGAGGAAAGCAAAGCATGGGGAGATGAAGTCACTTGCCTAGGAACTCCTAAACAGGCCAACTAGGAAAAACTATTCAAGGCATAATTCTCTACATTGGGTGCTGGTGGTGACAGATGCTCCCAGCCACATGCATGTTGTTATTTCTTAACATTTCTAGGGTCCCCACTATGCTAAGCACTTTGTGAACAACTCCCTTCCAAACAGCTTGGAACTAGCTGTCAGACAAGACTGAATGAACAAGAGCAACAGATACCAGGAAGGAATTACATCCCTTTGTAATAAAGCACATGGGTTACAAATGAAGCACATGGGTTAGCGAGATTATATAGATGCTCAGCTGTACCAAGACAGATGCCTGACCTGCGTAAACTGTAATCACACAAGTGAAGGCACTGGTGCAAAAACTGTCTTCACTAACTGAGGATCTGGTTAGTCATCCTCACATCTTGAAAAATGGCTTATGTACTTAGTAAGGCTGTGTGAAGCTTCAGTCCCTGATTCAATTTGGCAGAGATTTGGTCCAATTCAGAAAGATTCAGTGATTCAGACATAGACACAACTTTAAATGTTTTTTCTGCATACTTCTAGGTAGCAGGGGCTCATGAGTGCTGCGATGCTGGGGTGCATGGAGCATTTCACAGATGCGTGGGTGGCTCCCCAGCGCGCTCGGCAGCAGACCAGAAGTCAACCAGAAACACTTCCAGTCCACTTCTGGGTCTGCTGGGGAGCATGCAGGGGGCCCACCCTGCACCCCCCCAGCTTGGTGACTGGTGCCTCCTGGGCCTGGGGGGGGGTGCCTGGGGTTCCCCCGTGGCCACTTGCCAAGCTGGGAAGGGTGCGGGGGAGCCCCCCTGCATGCTCCCTTCAGACCCGGAAGTGTACCGCAAGTACTTCCGGTCTACTTCCAGGTTCACCACCAAGCATGTGGAGGGCCCCCCTGCACTCCTGTAGGACTCTCCATGCACCCCAGCATCACAGGGTTCACAAGCCGTGCTGGTACTTAAAGGTATGTAGAAAAAGCTTTTAAAGCTGTGTCCATGTCCGAATCGCTGATTCTCCAAATTGGCATTGAATCTTCAGATTTGAATTCAGCTGAATCGAATCAGGGACAGCGATCTGAATCAACGGACTGAATCACTGTTCCTGATTCGGGCCGAATCCAAATCTGAATCGAATAGGGCCCACTTCGCACACCGCTAGTACTTAGTTCTTTTTGCTCTGTATCTTTTCAAACACCAGTGATCACTGCAAAGCCTCTGTGAGAGGTAAGTGGTACTGTTCATATTTTAAAAATGGTGAAAATAAAACAGGAGGGTTCTGGGCCAAGTGTTCAAGAGTAGTTCCTAAATCTGCACACCTCCACTTTGCAGATACCCAACCTGGGACACCTTTAATTGGGAGGCTAGCAATTTTGGATGAGCCTTCTATGGCTGTTCTACCAGTGATGCAGCTACATAGATCAGTGACTACCCTTTTAACAGCCATCTATCTAGTAGAGCTGTGCGAAGCTTTGGTAGCTGATCAATTCAGAGATTTGTCCCAATTCAGCGACCAAATCTCCAAATCTGAAGTGAATCGGTAGGCCC